ATATTTAATTAAGCTGACAGTTTTTTTACGAAAAAACGAATCAAGTCCTTATCTTTTTTTCTCTTTTTTTATTTAATTATACTAAAATTACTAAATTATAATGATAAATTTTTACATAATATCAGTTTAAAGAAAAACTGACCGGTCAACGGTCATTAGCAAAGTTAAGGATTTTTTTTTCTTAATTTCATTTTTTATAAATATAAAAAAATTTAAATTAAATTATATATTTATAAATCACACTTTAAATTAAATAAAACTAAAAAAAATAACCAGTTGTTCACAAACTCAGCCCGCTCGCCTGATTCTTTATTACAAACTATAGCATCTATATATATAGTAAAAAAAAACACAAGAACTTAAACTAAACAAAAGTAAAACTATAAAACTCGATCAATCATAAAATAGAGTTGTTGCGTGCTAGAATATACGCGGCGGTAGAGTTTGTAAATTCGTCTTAGCGTTGCACAAGTATTCAACACGCAAACCGAAAAGAGAATGAACACCAGAGTTTTTACGTGGAAAACCCAAAAAGGGAAAAAACCACGGGGTCTCGCCCAATTGTAAAATTCCACTAATGTTTCTGTAAATTACAAAAAACTGATTCGTCCCACAAATCAGGACGATCAAATTACAACTTTAAGCAAATTTACAAATTTATGCAAATTCCCGGCGTTTCCCGAAAATCCGCCAGAGTTTCGGCGTCTTCAGGTGGCGGGAAGAGCTCTGGCGGTGGTCGAGGAGGAGCTTCTTCATTCTCCTCCTCCTTCTCTTCTTCTTCTCTCTCTTTACTTGAGTCCCCTTTGTGTAGAATAAGGGCTACATTTATAGTTTTTCTGGAGTGACATAGCTCGTAAATAGGTGTGAGATCATGGGCGAATAGGGAGTGGTTTGAATGGACGGCCAATATTGAACCCTTCGATCGTACACCGTTCGTTGGACATTTGGAGGCCTTAATGATGTCGGAATTCGGCGATCTTGGGCTCGTTAGATTCGTCTCGTCGAGCCGCTCGATTCGAGCATAAGCTCGTTAAAATCGGAGACCGTTTGGTAACTCAAATTGTGGTTTGAACCTTCCAACAACGCTTCAGGCACTTGATTTGGGCTCATTTGGACTCGGATTGAGTTGAACTAGGTGTCGTTGGGTTTGTATTTCCGAGACACTCAGTTTGACTGTAAGCTTTTTGAAATCGAAGTTCGGGTGCTCCCTAAATTAATTTTTGAAGTTTTCAGCCTGATTTTGCATCAAGATTCGTGCCCGATCAAAATAATTTTTGGAGTACGTATCAAGAGTTAAGTTGTATCTTCTTACAAAAATTAAATTAAATAATAATATATCCTAAATCGCTCAACAACTATACTCCCCATTTAACCTAACCATTTAATTATTTGGTTTGTTTGTCTAGTTCGAAGTTTATTTTCTTAGTACCATGTCATTGAAAACCATAAGAACAATTCTTCTTAGACGTAATTACCTCACCAATTATGGGTTGAAGCTCTCTTGACAGCCTCCTACCTTAATAACAGATAACCATCTAAAACAACTAAAATATGAAATCACCTTATCAAACTTCGTACCTACCTACACCCATCTAGGGAGAGATTATTCTGTGCGGACATCAGACATATCATACCGTTCAGAGGCGAATCAGGTGCATACACGTCATCCAGTACCGAGCCGCGGTACCAAGGGGTGACGAGGCACATTTTCATTGGACTCTGAACAGCATTCGGTGTCTGCACCTAATAATTTCCCCCATCTAGAAACGTTTAGATGTCATGCTCTTATTTTCCATGGCAACTAGCCAACAACCCCTCACTAAAACAACTTATCCTTACTCCAGAAATAATGATTCACGTTGAGCACCGTTTATCCGTCTCTCCTAATCTGCAATTACCAAAAAAATCCTCATTCGACATAATCATTAGTGCAGAAGATGATGAAAATTCAACATTTGCACTCATATGGACAATCTGCAACAAGCTTTTCTCTTCTCAAGCTTTCCTGGCATCCAAATCAGACAATACAAGGCAAGATATTTTCTAGGCCAAGCAACCAACACGAAGGACTTCCTAAGAAATTCCAATACGAATGAATGCAAGCTGATTCTTGCTTTGCTTTCATATGTCAAATTAGATACTCTTTCCAAATAAGATTGATGATCCCAAGCATCATCATCCTCATTTTGTCAGTTCATTACAATCCTCATAATTACAAGGCTGAGTATAATCTTTGTGGTAAACTAAGGATTCGTTTAGAACAATTTTTTTATTGATTTTTAGTACAAATATTTTGGATTGAAGAAATTTTATACGAAAAAACTGCTTTAAAAAAATAGTAAAAAAATTGTCTCAAATAAAATCTAAATCTATCAACACATGCGTCATCCCTTTGTCTGTCATTTCAACTCCTCAATCGTATTTTATTGTGTATCAAAAGATTATGGTCTTCTCATTTCACTGAGTGATCTAAATTTACCACAACACAAACTCAAATTGGGTGAAAAGTTCTCATGATAGCAAAGTTTACATCTGGGCATTGTACATTCCTTGGAAATACATTAGCATCTTAGATTTGTATTGTTGTGTATTGGTCTGATTTGGTTGTTCCTGCATAACATCACACCGATGTAAAATTCATATAAATAGCTTATAGGTTGACGTATATTCAGGTCTCCAAAAGATGAATAAATGTCTCTATTAGGAACTTTTATTTGGTCCGGTCACCTGACATAGCTCTACGTTCGGACACCAGTAAAATAGTGTCACGTGTTCTCACTATTTACCGCGTGGCCCGACAACCCCGACCCAGAACGGATACGGGATTGCTATGTTCGCGTGTTGCTAGGTATTGCTCGGTATTGGTTGATTTTGCTCGGCAATAATGAGAAATACCATTATGTGAAGACCAATACCGAGTAGTTGCTAGGTATTACTCAGTATTTCTCGGTATTACTCGGTATTGGTCTTCACAGAGCGATATTTTTCATTATTGCCAAGTAAAACCTAGCAATACCGAGCAATACCTAGAACAATACCGAGCAATACGCGAACATAGCAATCCCGGGTCAAGTCATCGGGCCGCGCAGTATTGAGTAAGACCACGTGGTGACATATTATTGGCGTCCGAACGTAGAGCTATGTCAGGTCACCTGACCTAATAATTGTTCCTCTATTAGCTCTCTCTCTCTCTCTCTCTCTCTCTCTCTCTCATATCAGGTCTCAACGCCCGAAATCGAATCAGGTGTTGTGCTCAAGCAGAAGCGGGCACCCGATTGAGCGAATCGCATGTGTGCACGGAAGATTGCACGGAAGGAAGGCATGGCAAGACCACAGGCAGACTGGGCGGATGTAGGCCTGACTGGGTGGCAGGACATCCGCAGGAGAACGTGCGCATGGGGGTGGGTCTAAAAACGAACTAAGAAGGGTAGGGCGCGGTGCGCATTGGCGCAAAAGACATGTGAGGCGAGCAGGTAGGACGCAGAGTGGCCTCACGGGGCACGGGCGGTGGACGTGGATTGTCGCGCTGGGAATAGGAGCATAGACGCGCGTACAAGTGGTTTGAGTGCACGAGCTGAGCGCGCTAGTACATACACTTGTACATGTGGTTCGAGCGTGTGGATTGAGCACACTGGGTGAATCGAAAGGATCGTAGACAAAGGTGTGCTGCGAGAGTTCTTGCTTGAGAAGAGGAGCCGTGGAGTTGAGACAGGCGAAGCGGCCTTGTGGCAGAGGAAAACGAATGTCGCGCTAGCAGGCGTAGGAGGTAGGGATAATGTTTAGATCTTTTGAGGTGGAGCCTTCGGGACATCGGATTTGGCGTGTCGGAGCAGTGTATCAAAAACCTCAAAGTAGATTGCACAGGAATGCACAAGAAGCGGGCGCAGGGCTTGGGATCTTATGGGTAGCTCGTGCAAAGTTGTTGTTAGAGCAAGCACGATTATCCGAGGAAGATAGGCGAGTCGAAGGATGCTCAGTACTAGAGCACAAACATACCGCGCAAGAGCTGAAGCTATGCATGGCACGACCGCACGGATCAAGGGAGGAATGGCGACGGGTGCAAGCATGCATGGTTTAGAATGCGCGGGAGCACGAGTTAGAGACGTGGATCAGAATGCACAACAGAGGTCAGGCACAAGCGGGATTAGGCTCAATTTGGCAGGTTTGCTCGTTGAGTTAGTACAAGGAGCCGATTGGATTTTAGCAAGCGTGAGTTCATGTGAATGGGTGATTCTTTGATCATAAAATCAGACCCAGGTTGAGATTGTTATTTATTGATCCGGTTTTAGATTAGGTTGTTCCTGCATGACATCACACCTATATATAATTCCTATAAATGGCCTATAGGTTGATGTATATTCATATCTCCAAAGGATGAATAAAGGTCTTGGTTAGCCCGCATCTCTCTCACGCCCTCTCGCACATCCAAGATGAAGAAGAGCCTCTCTTCCTCCAATTTCATAACAAGTGCCCAATGATGTGGCACTTTTTTATTAGTCTCTAGACACATTCGGTGTCTAGACGCAAAGGAAAATTTATTCTGTCCGGACACGGTACCGAGGGTACCGAGTGGTACCGCGGTCGGTACTGAGCGCGGTACCGAGCGCCAAATGATGTCGTTCCTTCCATCAAGCGCTATGCAGAAGCATACCGGTTGGATAGTCCCGCTGCTCTCAACCGTCTCCTCATTTGCTATGTTCTGGCCAGGTTGAGATTGTTCTGCTCATAAAGTTTTTTTAATTATTTTTGTACTAAAAAATTGCTTTATGAAGAAATAAGAAACCCGTCTCAAATGATGCATAAGAAATCTGCAATCCACAACAAGAAATTCATCATAAAGTAGAGACAAGCATGTTCGTTTAATACATTAAATCAATTTTTTTATGCTTCCACAAGCAAGCTGGGAAAGTTTTAATTTGCATGAAACAATGAGAAGCAGAACTGTTTTAAAAGGATAACCTTGAGCGCAGAGCTTGTTTATCCTGAGCCTCCTGATAATGCTGAACTGCATGCAAAGATTATGTAGCTCAGTAGTTGCTAATATTAGCAGAACCTGTGATGCAGAATAACTGGAAGGCCTTTGTCCATATGAAGAGTAAACATGGTTTTGTATGTAGCAACCATCGACTCATTTTCAAGTTTGAATTTGAAGAAATGCAAAAGAGTAGCAGCCAAAATCTTCATCTGTCTGTATGCAAAATCCTTGCCTAAGCAGATTCGAGGACCCGCCTGAAAGTAATCAATATACCTTATATATATACTGTGCCAACTAAAGGTTGGGATAATTTCTTTTCTAGTAAGAAAAATAGCATGTTGCTTCATTCATGCACCAAAAAACCGTAATATTTTGGCACTAAGAGATAGGGAGGAGTGTGAGACCTCGTTTCCTTACTGTTCCTCTCTGACTTGGATTTTCCTCCCAGGATCGTCCGGGACAATAGTGAGATCGTCCAGGCCGATCGGTACTGTTCAAAATATCGTCCTGAAACTAGTTCTGGGAACCGTCCAGGACGATCGATTTTGGTCTGATCGTCCCGGGGCGATTTGGCGATCGGCCGGGCCGATCAGCCTAATGATATATGAAAATCAGCTCGTTTTGAGGAGAGAGAAAATCATTTTTTATAAAAACAGATATTTTGAGGAGAGAGAAAGAGAAAGGGAAAAGAGGATATTTTGGCACTAAGAGATAGGGAGAAGGAGAGAGCTTAATAACCCCATGTGACTATTTATTACAGCCAATCCTTTTATGCTAACTCCACGTTTACAACACTTGTAAGATTTTTTTGGGGGGGGCTTTAAGAGGGGTGGTTGCATTATTCATTTTGTAAATTGCTCTAAAGAAAGCAAAACATTTAAAGGATCGTATAAGTAGTTATGTTCTTGTATTACAATAGCAAATTTAACAAATATTGCTTGGCTAGAATCTTATAGTTCTCACAACAAAAATACCACATAGCAAGCAACCCCATATAAACCTATCTAAAGTGCAGTGATATTCTTGATCAAGATTGTTCTCATGCACCAAGTTTGGGACGTAATCAATCATGAGGCTTATGTAAATGAAAAACCTTGATATCCCAAAATTAAAATAAATCTCAATTGATTTTATTAGCTAGCCGAGAAAATCCAGTTGGAACTTATATTAGTATGTCTTACAAACTCGATTTTACTTTATAGTCTTTTTTTTTTTTTTTTTTTTTTGAAACTCCAAAAGAGTGATAAGAAAATAGATAACCCCACAAGCTTAATTGTAATGCCTTATTATTATTATTATTTGCTTTTTACTGATGCATTAGTTCCTAGCTAGCACCTTTAGTTAATGTTTTACACCTTTTATCCAATAGCTCCATTGTCGATGAATTCCAACATTGCTTTCCCTGAAACCATCAGCCATCCCTCTAGCAACAGCTTGCTCCTCTTCTTCTTGCCCAATGTCTCAACACCCATTGGTTCTTCATTTAACAAGTCTCATTAACAACTTTCTCACTTAAGATGCCTTCGCGATTCCCCATCATCTCAAGGTCGATGCTTCATTCTGGTCTACTTAACACCACCGAGTTGTCAACTCCAATTTGATGACTTATACAATCAACATTCAACTTCTCCAACCTAATAGACAACCATCAAAATTAGGTCCCGACACATCACCACCAACTTCCTAACTTATCAGAGCCATCCAATGCCAACTTGAAGATAACACATATCCTCCATATATAATTGTCCACGACTAAAGGACGACCGAGACACCACATGACTATCTGCTGATTATAATGGCTCCTTTGAGATATCCAATGGCAATCATGTATTCCCCTTACGTGTATAAATTAGGACTTTCTAAGGGATCAAGTAACCATGGAGACTAAGTTCCTATAAAGGAGGCTTCTTCTTCATCCTCATCCATCATGTTCCACTCATCATGATGAGGCAGACCATCCTTGTAGAATGTGTTCTTCGCTTCTCATTTTGAAAACCTCCTCTCACCACGTTGTGAATATAAGTTGTAAAGCTGAACCATCTAACCCATCTTTGTATGACAATTTCCTCTATTCCCCCCTTCCCCGTTTACAGAGTTGTTAGGTTTTCACCCAATTCTAGGGGCACTCATTTCTACACTCAAAAATTGACCGATCAATTACACCATCTTCCCTCAAGTTAGGAAGTTTTTTGGGTCTATATTTCACACTCTTCATCTTCTCCCAAGCAACATTCCCCTCACATGGCCTAGATGATGCCTTCAAAATTGTGGACTAGTTATCTTCTTTCACAATGATGAGTTTATTGACATCTATAGAATCGATTATTTAAATGTTATCTGCCACAATTTGTATCGTTATGTACCTTCAGCTGTATTCTATATTCATTTTTGTTTTAATATTCATTCATGGTCCATTATGTTCAAAAGTCATATTTTGTATGTTCGTCTATTGTTAGTTTAATTCATGAAATTCATAAAAAAAATTTAGCAATGCTTCTGCATCACTATAATAAGGCTACGAGGGAGTTAGTGAGAATATTATTGATATGCAAAGCATCAACATTAGATTTTTATTTCTTATCCTGCCATGACAAAAAGGATGCATAGAAATAGTGCACAACATCAAGGCAAAATCAGGATTTCCAATATACTAATAAATGCATGTACTGACGTGAAAATATATCTACAAGTACTACAATAATTTATAAAAGATAAAAGTAACTAATTATATTTTCCTCATATCATGCCTAAAAGGTCATGTCAATCTTACTTTTGAATGAGGTTGACAAAATGATTAGCCTTAATTCAAAGGATCCTTTGCTTAGTGTAGGACCTTCCTCATAGGATCTCATAGATGGATTCATAATGATTTAACATTGGTTAGCCATAGAAATCTCAAGTCTAGGATACCATACCCTGTATTGGACCCTAGAGATCCTTAGGCTAGGTTAACCTTAGTTTGCCTTAGGTGGCATCCAAGACCCTTATGAGTCTACTCTAGACCCTCCTAAGCTAATTTAAAAACCTTCTCAATCTTTTACAAATTTATTTTCGATTGTTGAAGCCAAATCCAAAGCTTAAAACCAAAAATAGCCCTAATTGAGTCTTGGGGTCCATAGTCCAATTAACCTAAAACTTGTCTAAAAGCTACCCAAGGACCTCAGGAAACTCTATTTACTCTAGATAGGTAGTGGACCCTTTTGGGTTAATCTCAAGTCAAATCTAAAACAACAAAATATTAAGAAAAATAACTTAACTTAAGCCCTACAGCACCCGCCTTAGGACATAACCTAGGTGGCTTATGGTCAAAAGATCTACATTAGGAGCCCTTGGCTTGCTCTTTGGACTCATTCCATGGGTCAAGGAACCTTGGTCAACCAATTTGACCTATTGTGAAAGTAGGTTTGACCAAATAATTTTCTCAATCCTAAAACTTTAAATTCAAATCCAAGCAACCAATCCAAATCTAATGACATTGGCATCGAGTCTATATGGTCTTAGCCCATCTTAAGAACATTTGGAATTGTTCTTGACCCATTATCAAGCGCTTTAACCATACTTAAACTCAATTTAACCAAAATCCTAAATGACCTACCTTGGGTGCATCTGAACCAAATCCAACTAAATCAAATCCAAATCTCTTTGAATACGGCACAAACCTTCCCAAGACGCTAACCTAGCTCCCTTAGGTGACCTAGCCCATTTGGGTTAGCCGAAGTGAGCCAAATCATGTAATCGAAGTCCTATCCCGCATCCCAAACCCAATTCACACTAACCTAAGCCCAATACATGTTAGCCCATGGCTTCCTTGTACTCCTATGCATTCCATGTATGTTGCCTAGTCAGCAGGCTAGTTGGCACCCCTCATGTGACTGGTTCATGCATGGCTGATGCCTCATGTGGTCACACTCTCCATAAATATTTGCTCAGATTACTCCCAGCTATGAGAATGGCTAGACACACTTCTCACTGCTCAAATTACTCCCAGCTCTGAAATATATGGGGATATTATCAACACAATTCAAGTTGGATGGTTGAAGTGGAGAAATACTTCGAGCTTATTGTGCGATAGAAAAGTCCCCCTCAAACTTAAGGGAAAATTCTATAAGATAGTGGTGAGACCTGCAATGCTTTATGGTGCCGAATGTTGGACATTAAAAGAGAAGCATAATACTAAGTTAAGTGTTGCAGAGATGAGGATGCTTAGGTGGATGAGTGGCTTTACCCTTAGATATAGGATACGAAATGAGCATATACATGAAAACGTTGGAGTAGCTCAAGTTGAAGATAAGATTAGAGAGAGTCGCCTTAGATGGTTTGGCCACATTAAACGGAGGCCTTCCGATGACACTGTTAGGAAAGTTGAGGTACTAGATTTGACTTATGTTATGAAAGGTAGATGTAGACCTAAAAAGACATGGTTATAAAATATTAGAAATGATCTTTCTTTATTTTATTTAAGTGAGAATTTGACTTTTAACATAACACAATGGCGAAAAATGATTCATGTAACCGACCCCATGTAGTGGGACAAAGGCTTGATGTTGTTGTTGTTATCGTAATGAATAAATAATTTCAATAAATCACAGGAAATCATAAATAACTTCAGCTTTTCAAAAAAATTCCTCTTAAGCCCCTTTTGACTTGTGGATTAAAATTCATGAAAGTTTGAGTTAAAAATCAAGCACACTAAATTAACTAAAGAAACATTACATATTCTGAGCAAACATGAGTTAGAGAAGGAAAGTGATAGCTTGGGGGGGGGATTAGGAAAGTTTATTTAGGAAAAGATGACTTATTTAAATTTAGATTAAAAAAGAAATTATGAAAGGTTTATTTGAGGAAAGAGGGCTAATTTGAATTAAGATTTGGGAGGAAAATGTGATGGCTTATTTAAGGGCTATTAGGTTGTTTTATTTTGATTGTGATTTATATTTGTTGTAGTTCTCTTAGGAGTTGTTCCTAGCTGCGTCTATGATTTGTGGGAGAGCTGATCTACCTCTCATATAGTAGATCAATTGTATCTTGCTTTATTATTGAAGGAGAAATAAGAAAACCAGCCCTATCTTTGTGTTCCTACAATGTTCTTCTCTTTTATTTGTTGTTTTTACTTCCAAGACGTATCAAATTGATATCAAAGCACTTTTTTTATACCTATGGGAGCAAAGAAGGTTAAGGCATTGGAAAGTAAGATGGAGCAAATCAATTCCGATGTGAAAAAGTTCTCAACCATGGAAGGAAGGTTTCATCTATGGAAAACCAATTGGGAGGAGTGGAGGAGATGTTAAGGAAGCTTATGGAGATGTAATCCAAAACTCCACCGATAGTTCCGATTGCCAATTCTAACCCAGAATTGATCGGGATTCCCTTGACCAAAACTAAGGGAAAAGAGATTGAATGGGATGAGTTTAATGAGGAAAGCTTCTTTCACCAAGAATTACCTCATAAGGCTCCAATAAGGGGCAATTAGGGGGTTCGGATGGGGGGACAGCAAAGAGAAAATTTTGTGGTGGTTGCGGAGTGGTCGGCTATTATGGAAGGCATATTGGGCAAGGGGAGCGAGCGATTGAAGATGGAGGGGGTTAAGCTGAGCCATGGGATTGGGTCATGCAAGGATAGATGGAAGAAAGTTGGGAGTCTCACTCTAGATACATGGCGGAAACAATGAGGAATCATGACAACCGCTATATTGGAGGAGGAAGAAGATATTGGGGCGATGATGATCCTAGGGTGAGGAAGTTAAGGAAGCTAATATTTAAAGGGTATGATGCCTATGGGTGGGTGTACTATGTGGAGAGGGATTTCATGGTGAATGGGTTGAATGAGGAGGAGAAGCTTACAGTTGCAGGGCTATGTCTAGAAATGAAAGCCCTAACTTGATTCTAGTGGACGATAGCATGACCACTAACTAAGTAGTTGAAGGACAATTTCAACTGGGAGGAAGCAATAACATAGGCCTTTGAGCAGCTGAAGAAAGTCATGATCAACGTCACATTTTTCCACCTTAAGGACAAGGTTCTTTTTTTTGGGGGGGAGGGGGGGGGGCACCTTGTTAGGCCCAGGGGAGTTAATATGCACTATGTAAGGAGAAGAAACCAGGGGAGAAACAATTAGAAAAGTTTATTTAGGGAAAGATGACTGATTCAAATTTAGATTGTGAAGGAAAGTGGGCTGATTTGAATTAAAATTTGAGAGGGAATTAGAAATGTTTTATATAGGGAAAGAGGGCTTATTTGAATTCAAATTTGGGACGAAAATATGATGATTTATATAAGGGTAATTAGGTTGTTTTATTTTGATTTTGTGATTTATATTTGTTGTAGTTCTCTTAAGAGTTGTTCCTAACTGTGTCTAGGATTTGTGGGAGAGCTGATCTATCTCTCGAATAGTAGATCAATTGTATCTTTCTTTATTATTGAAGGAAAAATAAGAAAATCATCCCTATCTTTAGGTTCCTATATTGTTCTTCTCTTTTATTTGATATTTTTACATCCAAGGCGTATCAGAAAGCAAAATTGAGAAGATAATTTACGCATTGATAGCAGTTTTAAATCAAGATGCACCCGAGAACATATCAATCCTACATAGTTCTAATTCAAAGCATTCCGTTTTTTATTCATGATATTCAAAGTTTTCACAGTTTGGCTACTTTCAGAGTTGATTAAAACAACTTTAGATTGGCCAACACCGTAATATTTAAAGTTTTCAACATTTGGCATTTGTCAATGATTTATTAAAGAATTTAGTCGGATCATCATTGCAATTACCAATTATCTTAAGAAAGTATAATTCAAATAGATGAATCTCACTATGCGTGGCTTTCATGATATAATGGAAAACTTACTAGCACACACAATATGAGATTACTTGATTTTAATATAGGTTTGAGATTTATAGTAATGCATCTATTATAATGTATCGAAAAGTATTAAGTTGGGATGGGTATGATAAGAAACGCTTGTAGAAATCAAGCAATTCCAGTGCTGAATTTGAATTTACCTTGCAACAAAAAAGGAATTGACAATAATGAAGAAGAATAACTAGAAATAACTTTTAAATTGCTAATAATGGAAGAAAAATAGCAAGATGCAATGAATCTTTTATTGGAGAGAAAGATCTGGCTCTCCCAAATCTCTTAACGTAGCTAGAGCCCAAGTGAACCTAAGAACAATCTAATTTCAGCAATATAACCTCATACCCTAACCCTAGAGCAAACCGCTCTATTTAAAGCATACAAATAACCAAAAAAATTACTAAACAGCCCCCTCACAAATTAATTCCATGCATAACTACCCTCTCCTAAATATATTCAAATAATGGGGCCCCCAAGGGATGGGCTTAAGTAGAGGCGGCGAACCAAGGGCCGACCCATAGCCTAGGGTCAGTTGGACCGATCACTCCTGGACCGATCTAACAATACACCCCTCCCAAAGAATCATCTTATCCTCAAGGTGAAAGAATGGAAACTGATGCTTCACTCTCTCGTGTTGCTCCTAGGTGACATCATAGTCCAGTAAGCTCTTCTATTTTATCAGAACCTCCTTAGTCCCTTCTTCTCCCTATTGAACCCCCCTTAACTCCAATGGTTATAATTCCACCTCCAAGTCCTCTGTTAGTGTCACAAGTAACTCTAAACTAGCTACATGATCCCCAATCGCTCTCCTCAGTTGTGACACATGGAATACTGGATGTATAGTCACAGTCGAGGGTAATCTCAAACGATACGCCACTAGTCCAATACTCTCTCATATGGGCAAAAATACCTTGGGGTAAGTTTCACATTCCTCCTGTTGACAACCGTCCTCTGTCTGCATGGCCGTAACTTTAAGAACACCCTAAACCCTAAACACTCTTTCCCCTACTTTGAACTGGATGTCCTTCCCGCGCCCATCTGTCTGCTTCTTCATAATCTGCTATACCCTCAACAACTGTCTTTTCAGTTCATCCAACATCCTCTCTTTCCTCCAAGTATTATTCTACTTTTAGTTTCCATTCCATGTGGGGGTGCTCGTTGGATCTCTGTTGTTTAAGTGCTTTGTAAGTGTGGATAACTACTTTTGCGGAAAACTTCTTATATTGACTTAAGGTTTTGTTTTGGTTTTTTTTTTCCAATTAGGGTGATTTTTGTCCATTCTTGTCCCTTAAATCATTTAGTCACTAGTTTTGTGCGTGTGGACCTCCGAAAGGACACCGCTCAGATGCAGAGTGTAAAGGGTATACGACCGCACCACCCCGAGGGATAGAGACGATCACAGGTCTCCGCGCTCCTCGCAAACGGGCCAATGGAATGGCAGATTAGGTCGTACATACAACTAACCATTGAGGATAACAGCTCTCGCTAGCGCACCCCGATGGGTAGTAATATATACGACCTGATTAAAACAACGAGTTTCCCCCACCCGATACATCAGCTCGAGTGGGGTTTATTTGATGGTGGAGTTCTGTTTCCCACGGGCGCAAGCCCCTATGGTTAATTACATCTCAAGCCTGGGGCTTGAGAATACTCTCGATTAAGGATCTAATATTATTCTTCCCAACAAGGGGATTGACACACAAAAAAGAGACTAGGAAGTCCTACTCAAAAGGAAAGACAGGCTCAAGGGGCTTAGTCAACATTCACGGTTCACACCAACATCCGGAGGGACTAAGACATTGAGAAGAAAGAGAAACTCGTACACTCCTTTAGTTGGAGTCGAGCCTTAGATCTCCCTCGATCGATGAGAAATCGCTTTAAAAGCTCTTTGTCCTCAGCTCGTCGGAAATCACCTTGCCGGCGGCTTTGACCGATGGGGTTTGACTTGGAAAAGGTGGAAAAGAGTTGAGGAGAGCTCTCCCATAAGATTATTCGTCTTGGGAGGGCTTAGGGGGTTTAGGAAGAGACAAATTGCCAGAGCCCTTCTCATGAAGCCCTAAAAGAGTATTTAAAGGATCAAGGCCTTAGATCCACGGCTAGGATTCATCCTAAGGCTAATTAGAAGGGAATTGAGGTGATTTAGCCGTGGGTTTGATTGCTTGATTTATGAATAAATTTAAGCTCATGAGAAGGAAAAAAGAATTAAATTAATCATATTGAATTAAAATCAAGCTCAAAATCAGATCTGATTTGGGTCAATTTGAGATTCAATTTGATTTGTTCAAATTAACCAAATTATATTTAAATAAAATGACGACTCAAATCATAACAAACTCGACGCGGCTAAGGTGGATTAATCTGACTTAATCGAACACGGTCGAGTCTAATTCGACTCAATACGAACTGATTCGAGCTTGAATTGGACTTGACGGGGCTTGATTAAATCGATCAAAGGCCCTCAGGAGCACTTGAACGAAAATCGAGGTCAACAGCGCATGATTAAAATATTGTCAACTGAGATGCATGTTGTCTTGTTTTTTTAAGTGTGAACTTAATTTGTTGCTGAAATTTATATTTGCCATTGTTTTATCATAGAACTTCAAATTTTGATGATTGTGAAATTATTTTATGGAATGAATAAAATATATTTTCTATCTCACATTAAAAGCTATACGTTCTTGCATAATTATGTTGTAATCTACCAATTGTAGATTTTTTGTGTATTTTCATCTTAGATATCATTTTAGGTTGTATCAGGAAACCTGAATTCTTAACCATCTTAGATTAGAAAGTGCACATATAAAATTATAAAAATTTAAACATATTATCAAGAGAAATTAAATATTAAAAAAAACATTCAAAGCTAAAACCTTACATTGAAGGAAACAAATTTGAAAGAGCTCTCAGGCTGAAAAGTTCCATTTCGAAGCCATCGCTCTGGTCGGAAATCCTCCGCATCTTCACCCCAAAGATAACTCATCCTCCCCATTGCATAGGAGATATAGGTGATTCCATCCCCTTTTTTCACCTTAAAACCATCTGGTAATTCATCATCCTCTTCTGCAAATTTCCCATCCTACCAAAGAACAAGATATTTAAATAATTAAACAAAGTTGATACTCGAAATTTCTAAATTTTGATGATGCACTTAGAACTTTGAAGGGCATGTCACAATACCGAACAAAAAATATCACAATACCAGTGGAACAGCTGGAAAGAGTCGAAGAGTCTCGGCCAGTGCAGCATGGAGGTACTGCAATCTGTCCAAGATTTCCTCTGTTAATCTACACACAAACCCATCAATAGAACCAAGACTTTCAAATTCAGTGACCTCTTTAATTTCAGCCACAATTTTCTCCTGCACCAGTGGGTTCTTGCACAGCATATAGAAGAACCAGGAGAGCGTATTTGCAGATGTATCCTTCCCTGCAATCAAGAAATTGAGGATGATATCCCTCAAGTATTTATCTGTCAACGTCGCATCATTCTGACTTGCCATCACAAATCTTGAAAGTATATCCTCTTTCATTTTCTGAAATATAATTCAATTCAGTTTTCACCCAAATCTGATTTCTAGCACTAGCAAGAGTTCAGAAATTCTTACGTCATTATGTCTGCTTTCCATCTGTTCTCTCTTGCGCTGTATTAACTGGAAAACAAACTCATCAATCACCTTAAGGTTCCTCTTTAGCTGGGCCTCTAATCCAATGTTGAAATTCCTCTTTGCTCTCCAGAATATATCAACATACCTCCTGAAAACCATGTGGTTTGCTTCATCGAAGGCCCTTGAGAAAGCAACCCCTAAATCATCTGTACCTGAAAGAGTTCCAAGCTCAACGCCAAATCCAACCTTAAAAATGGAATCCATTGTTGATTTCATCAGGAGATCCTGCCAAAGCAGAAAACATTTCTCCAGCTCATGAATAATACAGAATCTAACATACTGTTGTGGCTGATAACAGTAATCATTCTAATAAAATGGTTTCTGTGAAATGCTTCCCTTCCATCAGGCTGTAAATGGAGTTATATACAATATAAAGAACATTCATAATCTTAAAGATCCACCCCATACAACTAATTTTCCTATTTATCACATATCAGTGAGGATCAAAGTAATAAGCACAAATCTGTTACTCCTAGTATCTTGTATATTTTTCCTAAACACTGCCTCTCAAGTTAGAATATATGATAACCATTCTAGACTCAATAACTTTGTGAAGATGTATGTCGGCTCCTTAGATGGAGACATGTGAAAAAGTCTTGATTATTCTAGCTTGAATCTTTTTTCTTACCAGGTGGCAATGAATTTCTGTGTTTTTTTGCTTATTAAACAAGAGATAAGAGGTAACTCAGGTACGGATTGTATGGAAGTGTACTGAATCATTCTATTCTGACTCTGAATTGATTTTGTACTGAATTATTCTATTCTAACTCTGAATTAGTTTTGTATTGAAAGTTTTGTTATGTTTTGATTCTGCTCTACACCTATTTTGAAAAGGTGGGAGGTGGAATATTGAATTATAAGGGACATAAGTACAAGTGCATTCCACATTCATATGTGCATCAGTATATGTATAACTTAACCGTTAAACAACACTTTATTATTTTGTTTCAATTTCATTTGGTTATGAATTAAAAATTTAACATGGCGAATTTAGTGTTGGCCTACTGAGGTTATACCCATTCCGTTGTTTATTACATTTTAGGAAAAGGTAAAGGTTCTGTTGAGTAGACCCAAATAGACAGAGAGCAGGAAGGTCAAGCTTTAGCAAGTATTTAGATTTTTAATTTTGTAGTTCATAGTTAATTTTTGTTGGAAACAGTGTAATATCTGGACTACTTTAATTAATTATTTTAGAAAGAAAATGTATTGTTTGAGCATTATGAATGTTATTTCATATGTTTTTGATGATTAGCTGGCTATGTATATTTGGTTGGGAAAAAATCTTAAAAATATATGGAAAGTAGGTTCAAATTCCTCCTTTAGGTCTTGGGGTGTTACACCTTAGATGGTTTAGTCACATAAAACGTTGGCCTTCCGATATTAGGAGAGTAGTGTATTAGATTTGGCCTGCGTTAAGAAAAGTCAGGGTGCCTACCTAAAAAAACGTTGTCAAAAAGTATTAGAAATGATATTTTTTTATTAGATTTAAATGATAATTTGACTCTTAATAGGCCACAGTGGATAAAAGAGATTCATGTTGCCGACCACATGTAATGGGGTAGTGGGATAAAGGATTGATGTTGTTTTTGTTGTTGTTGTTGCACTTGATTGTGAAAATCATTTCTTGATTCTTGGTTTTCTAGGAGTTCAAGGAGTGTTGAAAGATGATGAAAATCTTGTAGTTGATCGTCGTATGTCCCAACATCTAGCCTATTCAATTCACAAAAAGCATTCAATTGCATTTAACTGCTTGCAAAGAGAAGCATTCCTTGTTCCAGTATATGCTTGAGGTAGTGTAACACTCCATGAGCTTTTTCTAAATTGAGGCTTTCCCATTTATTGGTTGAGTATAAGGATTGTATGATTTGGTATGTCAAGTTTACTACAAGTTTGTGGTAGGAAAAAGGATCCCGTTGTAACTCTCCTTCATCTTTTCTGTTTTTTTTTTTTTTTTTTTTTGCACAGGAGAATGAGAATTGGCGGGCTTATCTCTCAAGTATCCTATCTAGGATCTCAAGTGCATTTACATTGTAAGAGAGCAATCCCCATCTTGGATCAATTTTTTTTCTAATCTCAAAAAGTACTTAAGTTCGCTAAGGTCTTTTTGCTTGGACTATAGCATGAGATAAATTTTACTTCAAATCTTATAAATTATTTCTATCTAGAATAATTTCATCAACATAAATAAGAAGAGTAGTGAAGCAGCTCTATGAGTTTGACAAAATAATGATGATCAAATTTAGAGTGGTGGAATCCTGAGTATTTGAGAGTTGTGGTCAACTGATGCGCCTTGGTATCAAAAACTGCAACAAATTCCAAGAGATTCAACACAAAAAATAAATTTTTATTGATAGAAAATCAAATATGAACAAAGAAAAATACAATGGTCCTCTTTCGAGAGGAGGACCGTCTCTCCCAAACCCTAGATGCCACTAGGATCCCTTACAAAAAGAAAACTAAAGCACTCTTAAATTAGATTCTCCATACAAACATAACATATATCATACTACTTATAACAAACAATAAAATAACAAATTCAAAAATAACCCTCCCCCAATTCTCTCTCAAATCAGCCCCCAAATCACCCCTCTCCAATTAAAAAATATATCATAATTTATCTCCTCCAATTCAGCACCCAAATCAATCCTTTTGAATTAGGAAATATCTTCTAATTAATCTCCTTCAAATCAACCCCAAATCTAACTTTTTTAATTATGAAACATCTCCTAATTAAACACATCCTTAATTCCTCTTCTCACATATGTAATGATAGATTTAATGGGCCCCACAAGGGGGGCTGGATTGTCCTCTCCTATATCATCAACTTGATAAAACATTAATGAGCAGCTTGCTTGAGACCATATGATGATTGATGCAGCATACATATATATATGTCTCTCTCTTTTGTTTGAAACTAAGAGATAACAACATATAAAAATCCTCCTTAAGGTCACCATAGAGGAAAGCAATGTAGATGTCAAATTGGCAAAGTTGCTAATTAGAGGCTGCTACAATAATGAGATGTATAATGACAAGTTCAGTAACAGGAATAGTTGTTTCATGCTAGGGGTGTAAACGAGTTGAGTCGAGCTCAAGTCATGGGGTGTTCGAGCTCGACTCGTGAGTCACATACCCAGCTCGAACTCGAGTCGAGCTCGACTCGCAACACAGAAACGATCTCTTAAAGCCACTCCTCGAGCTGCTCGATTTAGGTTTTCCCGCCCGCCATTTGGAATCCCCCCCCCCAAGTTTTCGGCCAGTAATGCCAGTAAAGAAATTGTTTGCATGGTCCATCACTCCATTGCTTTTCCTTTGGGTAATAGAAGGTACCCAGGCAGTCCACGACAAGTGGCCAATAGTTGGAGTCCTGCATTGCTTTTTCCCTTGGATAAACGAGCGCTTCCTAGCTGTTTCTCTTATATAAAGCATTAGCATTTAATGCTTTGACATTTGACAGTTGACAGCAAGAATGAGCCGAAAATTTAATAAGATTTGACATTAACATTTAATGCTTTTTTCCTTGACATTTGACATATATATTTTTTAAGATTTAAATTTAATAAAAATAATAACTATTTAAATTTTAAAAAATCCAAAAATTATTCGAGCCGGCTCGTGAGCTTACGAGATGAGCCTCATCAAACTCGAACTCGAGGCTCGAGTTCGAGCTCGATAAGCTCGGCTCGCGAGCCCATAAAAGAGTCAAGCTCGAGCCAGCTCACGAGCTAGATCGGCTCATTTACACCCCTATTTCACGCTAATCGAAACCTTCGAAATGGTTACATCCTTTTGCAACCAACAAGTAATGATCACTTGTATCATCAAGGTTAAATTTGATTTTGAAGGCCCATTTGCAACCAAAAACTTCTTATTTAGGATGAAGAGGTAGAAGAGGCCAAGTACTATTGGCTTTGAGAACATTAAGTTAATCTTGCATGACATGCGTCTATTTAGGATCCTGAACGACTTGTGTTAAGAATTTTCGTTCTTTGACTACAAAAATAGATGTAACAAAGGCTCTGTCTAGGAATGGAAGTCTATTGTAAGTCATTAGCTACCTGAGAAAAGGGATGAGGAATACCTTTCTTGCTAGCCAACACAAGAGTGAGATGAGGAAAGGGACTGAGACTATAATGATGCTTCAACATGATATTGTTGTAGATATCTATTGTGTGAGTGGTGTATCAAGAACATGCTTTGTTTTGAGATGTGCAAAGAGGATACGGTGAGGAGAGTAGCCGGAGATGGCAGGTGGCCTGGTTGACGGTGCAACGGTGATCGGTTAAAATTCAACATCTATGGATGTTGGAGAAATGGTATTTGGGACTTCGATTTGAGATGTGGATGCCTAGTGTGATCATTGAAACATTTGATGCCCATCAAAATCATCTATGCTTTACATATTTTCCCATTCAATGATAAAGTAATTAATATTAAGCATCTAATTTCCGCTCTCAGGAAATCTCTCAGGCTAGTCCTCTTAGGAGGTCTCTTAGGATTATTCCAAAGAATTTTCCCCTTAAAATTCTACTGAATTCGCCCCTTAGGAAATTTTCATCTGTTTTTAAGCTTTCCTTAATTCCTGAAACATTAATAGCCACTTCTGCCATTCTAAAAAAACTTGTCATGGTTTTTCTGTGGCACTCATTATGATGCTGTTAGGAGTTTAACACAGATTCGTGTTGTTGGGAATGGCATCCATCATCCTACACTTTCAAAGCACAATTGACCCACTAAACTCTTATAATCTTTATCAAACTCTCCAGAATTAAAGTAGATATCTCACCTACAAATCAAGAGCTAGTTTGCTGGATTTGAAGTTCTGGAGAGAAAGAACAATTAGGTAAAGACTGAGTTTCTGTCTGGACAGATTTCAGAAAGTGTTGGCATTAGAAGAGTCCCACATCCATCAAATTATCACATTAATGATCTAAGCCCCACCACCCACCCTCATAATAAAGCAAAGGTCATTAGCAAAGGTTGCAATATAGGAGGAAGTCTTAGCAAGGCTAGCCACTAATTTCAGTTTAATTTGAAATGAGAGAGAGAGAGAGAGAGAGAGAGAGAGAGAGAGAGAGAGAGAGAGAGATGGAGGGGACCAGAACACAACTATAAGGAGTTGAGGTAGAGTTGGTCTTCTGCCCGGCGGCTCAGAGAGAGAGAGGCCGATGGGCTCCTAGCTTAGAAAAGCCTCTGTTATCATAATAAAATGGTTTCTATGAATGATTTGGTTCCATTTGACTGTATTACATTTATATAAAAGAGAGAAAATTCCAGATTATAAAGATCAGCACTATGCAGCAAGTCTCTTGTTCTATCTCATATCAATAAGGGAAGTATCAAAGACAGTAACAAACAGAAAATCAATTCCTAAACAAAAACCTGCATATCTACAGCAGTTGTCGATCCTGCAACTTCTGCCATCTTCTTTGCTAGCTTTGCCGCTTTTGTGCGAAACACTGCAGTACTGAAGTCCCTAAGAACTTTGGTTGAAAACTCATAGCTTGCAAGCTTTCTCTGATGCCTCCACTTATCACCATCCACTGCAAAGATACCATCGCCAAATAGGTCCTTCATGATTCCATAGTTGAATTTACCCTGCACCACACCGTTTAATCTTTTATTTGAATTGGAAGAGATGATATAAAACTATGATGCGATACAGTTACAGTTATACCCACCTTGTTGTAGTTAGAGAAGTTGGTCTTCAGGAAATACTCGATATTGGCAGGATCAGCGGTATAAATGTCACTATGAGAGGGCTTTACCAACCTGAAGGTCTTGTGTTTTCGGGTAAGGATGGTAAAGTAATCGAAGAGGGTACTGAAATTTATGAGCTGGTGGAAGACTGTGCCTACAACTGGAGGGCGGTGAGAGCTGTGAATGGATTCCCGGAGGAAGAAGACGAGAAAGGAAAGAAAGGAGGCTGAAACATAAAGGAAGAGAAGGGCGAGGGCTATGAAGGGAAGATAGAAACTTAAGAAGGCTAGATATCTGAACACTTCTGAGATGTCCAAAGAAGCCATTGTACAGGATGAAGTTTTTGAGAGGATATATAAACAGGCGATAGAGAAGCACACCGCCCTAAACAAAAGTATAAGGCTTAGGCTTGTTTTGGAGGGTTTTTTTATTACTTTTAAAAATAATTTTTAGCTTAAAAATTAAAATTTTAAACTAATAAACTGTTTTAAAAAATAATAAGAAAGTCGTCCCAAATGAAATCTTAAGCTATGTTTGGGAGGGCTTTCTTAAAGTTTCTTAAAGCAACTTTCTAGTATAAATTTTTTATTTTTTTTACTAAAAAGTTGTTTAATAAGCAGTAAGAAAGCCGCCCCAAACAAAGTTTTAGGCTTCGTTTGGGACGGCTTTTTTATTGCTTTCTAAAACGGAGTTTTAATACAAATTTTTTTAATTTTGTACTAAAATTCCATTTTAGAAAGCAATAAAAAAGTCATCCCAAAAAAGTTTAAGTCGATATTAAAATGAGGGCGTTGCATAAACAAGTGAAGTGTAGGCTGAAGCTCAGCTTGAGCTAGATTAATTAATCTAAGCTTAAGCTTTATTTTACTAATTCGAGCCTATTTGTTTATTATCGTTTATTATGAAATAGAAAAAATAATTATTATTTAAATACTTTTTATAATAAAATGATAAAAAAATGATCAATTATAAAAATAATAATAATAAATAATTGCTTAATATAAAAAATGAGATATAATTTTTATTTTTTTAATAATTTTGTACTTAAAATCTTCAATTATATATATATTTTAAGCGAATCGGGTTGCAAGCTAACATATCTAGTCAGGGCTAGTTCAAACTTGACTCGTTAGCTCATTCGGTTCATAAGCCATAACCTAAGCCAACTTACGAGCCAACTTGACTCACTCACACCACTAATCTACTTTATTACCATTGAGAAAATTCAAAAAAATCATTTTATTTAAGGACATGTTGATAAAGACAAATTAGAGAGCATGTTGCACTTAATTAAACGATTGAAGCCAGAAGTTGTGTAGTTGACAAAGCAGAAATTGCTGACTGCTTGAGATATAGATTGAATAATTAAACACTACAGCTTCTTCACTCGTGACAAGAAAATTAAAAATTTGATGGTGTCGACTATTTCAAAATTATCATTAATGCAAAATCTGTTCAAATTGACTCTGTTGCTGGAGGATCTACTTTTCTATTAATAAATTTTGGCTAACATGGCAATAATAGTAAATAGTTGGCAAAATTATATATAATTTGACGTATAATAATCAAAAATTATTTTGGGAGTCATTATAAATTCAAGTTGTATAAGATATTCATCATAACATAGATATTTTTATGCTCGAATTATAATAATTTTTTTTCTAATTTTTAGGTATTGTCGCAATTACTTAAGAATTGACATATGTAGATCAAATTGGGATTTCGAGGATCGTTAGGTGTTTGTTTACAAACTGATTTCACCAAATTTTTTTAGGCATGCTTAACTAATTTATGAATTTTTTTTATATAATTTTTGAATCTTTAGATTTGAATATATAAAAAAATTTATATAAATTTTATACTGAAATCTAAACAAATGACATAATTATATTTATATCCTTTTATTATTATATTATTAAAAATAGCATGACTATTCGTTTAATCCATTTTGGTTAAGAGAATGGATATGAGAAAAAGAGAGAAAATGAGAGGAGGGATAAAATAAAAGTAAGGGTTTGATGGTCCTAGAAACATTTTGTTCTGTTGGCCTAGTAGAAAAGTTTGCTCGTCTCGAGGTATATTACGTTTTGCCAATTACAATTTTCAATAATTTGATGTTTTTCAAATTTTTTCGATCAAATTTATATTTTTATTACCAAAAAATGAAGATAACTTAATTTTGATAAAATTATCACCGCATAACTTTTTATATAGTATATATATTGAGATTATAAATATTTTTTATTATTTTTTTTAAAAAAAAAATTTGACACATAATTTTGAAAAAACAGTAATTTTTACTAATTCAGAAATTTATTTTAACATCTAAAAATTATGATTTAGTTCAAAAAAAGTTATATATAATCTCTAGTAATTTGGTTATATTTTGAAGCAGTGAATTTTGCTTAGTAGTATTTCTATTACATAGGTTAGGATATTTTGATACTTTCTGAATTAAGTCAAGTTATAATTTATTTAATTAAATGCATTGAATATGTATATAATATTGAAAGAAATGTGATATCCTGGAAGTGAAAAGATTTTGTTATGTCGAATCCAGTGGGTTGCCGAGGTAAAATACTATTATGCCAGACTCGGTGAACTGCCAGTGTGGGATTCTGATATGACATGTGATGTTATATCGGAGCTAGTGGACTATCATGGTGGGATTCTGATATGAGATGTGTTATGATGCACGAGACTAAGAGCTATTCTGAAAACTGCTATAAGATATTTATTAATATTTCAAGTTCAATACAATTCAATGTTTAATTAAATACATTCAATATCATTATATATTTAAGTTTCAGTATTTCATATAGTACTTCAGTTTATTCTCATGATATAGTATTTTTTAGTTCTTTGGGTTTTAATTATTAATTTCTGTTTTAAACCGCAATAGCCTACTCAGCTGTATTAGCTTACTCCTGCTTTTACTTTCATTTTTAGGCTAGGAAAAGGATAAAGAACGAGGTGAATAGTTTTAGATAGCATGCTCCGATCTATGTTGTAAGTATATTTTTATTACTTTCAATTTGTATAGGCTTGATTTTTATTTTATATTATATTGTCTGTTGTCAAGCTTTGTTGCACATATCTCATATTGTATATATATATTTGGAATCATTATCAGCATACTACAAATATTGATTTAATGGAAGGTAATCAATCTCCCAATCAAGCATCATTCAACATGAGTGTTGAAGGTCCTATGACTCATCTTGGAAGATCATATATGTATGATGAAAAAACTTCACATTCTAATTTTGCAACTCTCAGTCTCAGAGGAGGTATATCAAAAATCTCATAAATCATAATTTTTAAAAAGTATATGATCTCAAAAATCTTAGAAAGTATAAGCCTCAAAAGTTACTAGTATATAAAAAATATCAGAAGGCTAAAAATTTTAAAAGGTATAGATTTATTTGATTTATCACAAATATTAGAAGATTAAAAGTCTTACAAGTTACATATTTCTTTGGTTCTTCAAAAATTTTAAAAAGCTAAAAATATTAGAAGATACATGCTCCTTTGAATATGCAAAAACCTTAAAAAGCTGAAAGCTTTAGAATGTACATATTTCTCTGATTTTTAAAAATATTCTAAGGCATAAATCTCGCATTGAAGTCTTAAACAATTGACTTCATTATGCTCCATCTTGAGGGAATTACCTTAATAAATTTAATTGTCTCAAAGAAATATTAATGACTTAGTTTCCTCTAAGTGAAAGTTCTCACAAATTTGAATCTCTTGCTTGAAGATGGAGATTTCATTACTTCTAACGAGCTGATTGGAAACATAAGTCAAATTTGTACATGAAAAAATATATATTTCAAAGTCAATACTTAATAAATCTTTAAACTCGATCATGCATGTATTAGCTTTTAACATGCAATCTCTTTCCTCTTAAAGTTTTATGTAAGATGCAAGTTTTTTTTTTTTTTTTTTGAATGTTTCAATGCATAGATGGCACTTGTTATTATTGATATCAACATCTAACATCAATATCAAGTTCAAAATTAAACTCAAAAATTTTGATATTTTTTAAGATAATCTTTTACATAAGCTAATGATAAGTGTAAATAATATTATATTTAATATGTTAATTTGTCATTGAAAACATGTTGTTTTAGCTGTATTTCTATAGAAAAATACAATAAATGAAAAAATTTTCAAATATTGGTATAGCGACGCGGTATTAGACATGATACCACCGCAACGCCATCATTGACATTGTCGTAGCGCCAAAATGTGAACATGGTGGCCCCTAGTCTCTGTCTAGACAGTGCCGTCGTGCCTGAGAAGTCGATGTCGCGAAGCTTAGTCTCTGTCTGGACAGCGCCGCATTGCCGGAGGAGTCAGCGCCGCAAAGCCCATTCTCTGTCTGTACAGTGTCGTAGCGCCAAAAGTCAGCACCCCCATGCCAAGGATGTCACATCGCTCAATCCGCAGCAACGCTATAGCACTACAATTGTAACTATTCAGAACACATTCTGCCAGCGAAGCAACATGTCAATTCATTCAACGGCGAATCCATGTCAGCAAGCGTCACAGCGGAGGAAACCCTTTAGCACTATGGCGTAAGTTCATTTTATGGGCACTAACGCGGCGGTGCAAGTGTCTCGAGAATCACGTCATAACTTATGCTTCTAACTCTCTTTATACTTCTTCATCACACATTTCAATAAATGTATAGCTTTTATAGTAGACTTACCCAACGTGAATTCAAACTAATTATGAGTGTGGGCTCCGAAAAATTCCATTGTTTAGGATGTGTGATCCCGGGGGAATTTTCAGAAGACAGATTGGGTTTTAGATAAGGCATTACCCAGAGATTTCGCCCTCATTTAGTGAGGACTTTTTTATCTGAGTTCTGGTTTCTTATAGGCGCAAGCCCCTATAGTTAATTACCCCTCCCGATAACGAGAGAGAACTTTCGATTAAGGCTAGTCATTAAAGTAGTTATATAGGTTAAAAAAAATCTATCATATAATAGCAACAATTTTAGGGTTTAAATTTTGAATTTGGATGATTTGAAGTTTGAAAGTTAGAGTTTATCACCATAAACTTAAAACTGGTGGTGGGGGGAATGAAGACGAGCCCGATCAAGATCCCATGGTTCCATCGTCCCGGGCTGTCACGATCCCTGGTCTACTTAGTCAGAGGAGGTAGTCGACCCAACCTGACAGAAGGCACCTTGTCGGCAGCCATGGGTTGCTTCGTCCAAGAATACCTTGTAGACCTGGGTTGGTATTTGTCTAAGGGGATATATCTGAATCCACCTTAGCTAACAGAGGGCTTTATGCCTATTGGATATACCCTATGATCCATCGCTCAAGGGTTTGACGCCTTTAGGGAACATACGGGCTTTGGCCGTGATCGTAATAT